TAAACAGGCCACTAGCTGGATAACGATTTTAAATAAGAATTTTAATGCCAGTGTCTATATATTCATTTGTTCTCAAAATTTTCCATTAAAGTCTCACTTCACCCATCTTCTATAAATAGGACTATTTTCAAATTCTATAGTCATATACTAACAATTTAACACTAAAATACTCTTTGTATTTCTTAAACTAGGTATACAGTATGTAATACACTGAAGTGCAGTAAGATGGTTTATTATGCACAAGACTGTGAGTGCAGACTATCTCTAATCTACTTCTCACTACATATATGACCTTAAGTAAGTAACATACCCTCTCTTCCCCATTTTCCCATAGGGCTGTGGTGAGAATTAAATGCACTAATGTATATCAAGTGCTTAGAAAGGTGCATGGCACTTAATAAGCACATCATAAATGTCAACTACTTTAATTATGTAATTATTATTTTTATGAGAAATGGCATTCCAGCTCAGACAATTCAGTACAAATCCTGATAATATTAAAATTTCAATTTACTTTACAAGTGAGCTCAAATATTTAGGAAAGCTGGGCTAATATCAGCCCAGGTTTTACACTAAGCAGTCTGTGTTTACACTATATGTACCCCATTCACAAATCAAATTTTCTCCAACTCTGAGTCATTATTAGTTTCTCTCCTGACTCATCACATAGAAAGGTAGACAGTCTGGAGCATAATAGGAATAACAAAAGGCATTTCTTAATCCACCTGGATTTATAAAGTTTACTAAGTGGAACTTGTCCTATATTCAATATACATACTAAATAATTATGACCTAACCTGTATTCACTTAAAAGTGCTTTCTATATGTTAAATGCTCCTTTATCTTCCCTTTCACCAACACAAGTTCAAACTATGGAGTAGGTATTATGATCCCATTTTGATAGAAAAACAATTTATCACTTAAGTAAAATCAAAGATTCACATTTTCTGACCACTAGCCAAAAATAAATTTACATTTTGCCAAGAGCCTGGTGTTCAAAATTTTGCCACACTATAGGTTAGAGGGTCAGAAGCAATCTCTGAGTACACAAATTTGACCTGAAATTCTATTCAATTCCATACCTTTACTGTTTTCTTCATTCAAATATTTGAATTAATTCAGATAACCTTTAAAAAAAAGTTTTATAAAAGTCTAGGGAAATATGCTCAGTAATGAAAGGTAGGTTAATGTTTAAAAACTCTCCTTTTCCTAGATATATACATACACACAAAATACACAAAAACATTTAAAATATTGCTCTATCACTTACTTTCTATGTGATCTTGAATCATTTAAGCTCTAAGTCTTCATTTTCTCCTCTAGAAATGGGGATAAACAGTGTAACTACCACATGAGACTGCTTGAACTTCAGTACATAAACCACTTTAGCCAACCACTATTTTAAAACAGAAGTTTTAAATACTGTATATGTTAACTTTTACACTTAAACCAAAACTTCAGTGCCACCTCTACCTATTCATAGATTCTATTTTCTATGGCAACCATCTCCATTAACCCATTCACACAACCCTACTCAATGGCAGTAACTTCACAAACACCCTGAAAACAAGTATATAACTCTCTAGGAAGCTTTCTTCAACTGTCACTCCTCCTCCCTGGGTTAGGTACCTTGCTCAGGCACTAAGCTGTACTTACTACTCTACTTTTCACATTTCCTTATACTACCTGAGAGCACCTCGTGGGCAAGGCTTATGTCCTATTCATTTCTATACCCAGACTGCAGCCCAACAGTTCTTACTACTGACTCACATTTGAATCAAATGGGGAACTTTTAAAAATATTAATGCCTGGAATCCATCCCAGACCCATTCAATTATTACAGGGTGGGGTGAAGGGACAAAGAGGGCAAGGAATTGAATTAGCATGAGCAAACTTTTTAAAGATCCTAACATACTATCAATGTGCTGCTCAAGTTAAGAACCACTGCATGCTGATACTTAATATACTATACAAACAATTATGTATACATGTACATATGTGAGAATATAAGTAAAAATATACAGGTACTGAAAAGTTTAAGACTCAGGTCAAGATTCTCATCCTCAATACCTTCTCCCAGCCCAATCATCCCCTCCCTTTAAACACACACTATTTCCAATAAATATTTACATGTTTCACATTAAGATGACTTTCAAACTGTTAACTCAGTACTTAAATTTTTTCATGTAATTATGCCTTATCCTTCTTCCTAGATTATAGCCTTGTTCCTTGAGAATATACACTGCCGTATTCTTGTTTTCTCCACTGAAGGATAGTGTCTTTAACAGGTATGTAATAAACAGTTGACTGATCTGATAAACACACATAAAAATTATTGGCAAGAAGTATGCCATGTCCAAATTACCCAATTCGGGTGAATTACTACCAAAAAACAGAAAATGTAAAAATTTAGAAAAAAGGATTTTTTTAAATCTCTTATTAAATTTTATCTCATTAAAGAAGCTCTGGGTATTTCGACTTTAGCCACCACATGCAGTAACTACCCAGTTTCCTACCTCCCAAACGGCTAGTTTCAGTTTTTGACCTGGTTCCTTGCCTATAACTATCTTCTAGTCAATTCTGGTATCTTTAGCTGCTGTCAGGTACCTTTATAACAGTATTATATACACACTATATAACTTGTAAAATGAGGTAATGAAAGTCATGTATCACACAGAAGTTTCGTAAGTACTTCCTTCAAGGAACTTAATGTTTATCCACCATTAAAACAAGATCTCTACTTACGAACTACATGTTAATCTACTAATACAAACTTGGTTGGGAATCATGTCTGAAAATAAGAGTCTTACTCGACATTAGATAAAATAAAGACTACTGTTGAATATAGAGAGATTGATCATTTTCATCTTTTTACATATTTTCATACCTGAAAAATTTGCAAAATATGTATGGCTTTTTAAAATAGGGGTGTTAAATTAAATATTACACAAGAAACTCCACGGCAACCGGTATTCTCAATGTTGAAACTACTAGGAGAAATGGCACACAATTCTAAAAAGGCAACAATATAAAGACATGGAAATGGCTCAGCTTTAAAGTTTTGCATCTATTTTACCACTATTAAAATCATCTGAAATACATAAGTTGTTTTGAAAAATATGAAAATATGAGGAGGAGGCACTCAAGAAGTATGTCTGTTAATTAGATACTGTGGTAAAACATTACTGTTTTGTTGGGTCCTGCAGCTTGAAACGGATAGAGCCATAGTTACCACTAAAAGAAAGCAGTCCTCAATTCCCTATTCAATAAAAAAGGTTCAAATTCCACAGACAAAAAAAGGTACCGTTGGTTTGTTTGTTTTTAAGGAAGATTAAATTTAGGAGTTGCCAACACCCAAACGAAAAACATTCCAGAGTATTAGACTCCATTGTAGTGGGGAGTCATCTACATTCTCAGCACTATGTTCTCTTACTCAAAGCAGGGATATTAACAAAAGATGTTTCTTAGGATCTCACAAGATACACTCTACTTACTTCCCCTAGGAAACATTATGCTTGTTTAAAAAAAAAAAAAAAAGTACTTGAAAAATAATTTTAGCACATGCAGCCAGAAAAAAGTCAAGTTTAACATCTGCCAAGATATTTCCCGAAATAAGACCCCTGTTAGATAAACAATGAGGAAAAGATTGAAAATGACAAATTCTTTTATTTGGACCATCAGCTACTTTTAAAAATCAAGTTGAGGAATGTAGCTTTTCCAAAGCCTTGTCTTCAATTTCCCCTTATTCTTCACATTTTTAACTAAAAAAAAAAAAAAAAACCTGGAAATTTGATTACCACTCTTATGAATTCCTTCTAAAGCAATTTAATGAATAACAGACCTTTTGTGCAAGTAGCAAACCGCAGAGGACAGTTTTGCTGGCTGATAAAAATCTCTGAAACGCTCATATAAATACATCCTACAAAGACACACTATGATTTTCCAGGTATGGAAATCATAATACTAAAAATTTAGGTATATTTAATATACACTCTAACTTATTGCAAATGCTTTTACTTAAACCACAATTAAAGTTAGTAAATTCGAAATAGTTATTTAGTGGGTGACAAAGTTGAGTAAAATTAGAAAGCCAGGAAAAGAAAACGTGAAAACTAAAGAGTCAATGAGAAAAAGATGCATGTATTTTAGGTGAAACAAGGTGTTGAACCACTTCCTCAAATCCATGAGCTACTATCAAAGTAACCAAAACTTGTTTGAGATTGTTTTGTCTTGTTTCTGGTAGAGGGAGGTGTGATTATACACTTAGTAAAAATGTTTTACCAGTCACTCTAATGGAAGATGCTGCTACCTGCAGCAACGTTTTGAAAATACTCAAAACTGCAAACAACCCGAAACAAACACGTATGTGTTTCAGACACAGTACTCAAAAAGAGATCGTCTGAGCGAACAGAATTGTGGGTTGTTATTAAAGCATCCTTGTTGTCGTAAATATCACTCAGAAAAAAACTGTGTGTTTAGGAGCACAACTTATAAACATTTGATTTATATGTAATACAGTGAATGTATTCATTCGGATATACTCATCTTGAGTTCACTGGAAGACAAATCTGTCTCGGATATTGCTAAGGCCACCTTTTCTTTACAGGTGCTATTAAACATTGGTAAGAAAGGAGAAATAAACTGGTAACTTCACATGGGCACGTGGGACCCTAGAGAATGTCGTCACCACCATTAATCAATTTTTCTAACTGGTCAAGCACAAACAGCCAAGTCCAGGCGGGCAAATCCTGGAGCCACAAGTTGTCTTTCTACCACGGTAAAAAAGGATCCTGGATCTGAGACCTGGCCAGGAAGCCTGAAAAGCACGTGTCCTACTCTTGAGTTTGGGGAACTTCCCAGGAGGCATTTGTTCAGAGTAAAACTCCATCACCCCCTGCCCGCCTAACTCGGTGAATGGACAAGTACCAGCCAGAGGAGGAAAACTCTGGGCCCCGGGTAGCTCCCAGGAGGAAGACACCGGGAAGAAGCTGCCGGCTCACCTCTGCAGCAGGGATGTTGACCACGCCGGTGGAGCGCCGCTTCTCCCGCAGCTTCCTCTTCTCGATCTGCCCCTTGCCTTTCCTGGCACTGGGGCCCGAGCTCTTGCCCTTCTCCGGGACGCCGTCCTGCTCCTCCTCGTCACGCCGGGGCGGCGGTGCAGCCGAGGCAGAGGCGCCTGGGGGCTCGTCCTCCGACCGCCGCGGGCCGGGGGCCGCCCGGGTCAGCATGGCGGAGCCTACCGCGCAGTTCACGCCCCCGGGGCCGGGGACGGCAGGTGCGGCCGGCGCGCCGCCCGGGAGGTTGTTGTTGAGCTCGTTGGCAGCGGCGGCCGCCGAGGTGCCCAGAGCCCCCGCGGGGGGCTTCCCAGCGGCGTCGCTGCCGCCCCCTCCCGGGGCGGCCGGGCCCGGGGGGTTCTGCTTGGCGCGCATCTTCTCGCGTTTAGCCTTCCACTCCTCCAGGAAGTCTGTGGTGCTGCCGCCGAGGCCGCTGCTGGTCCGGTAGCCACCGGTCGCCATATTCCCAGAGGGGCTGGCCGGGCTCTCACCTCAGGCCGCCCACCACGGCTCCGGCCGCTGCCTCCTTTTCCTTCCTGCGGCCCCGAGGATGCCAGGGGACGACCTCCAGGAGCGGGACGGCCGCCGCTCCCCCAGCAGCCGGCGGGGCTGAGGGGAAAGACAAAAGGGGGCGGGTAAGGGAAGCGTAAGATCCCCGCCCGACCCGAAGGTCTGGCCCCGGGCTGCGCCCCTCGGAGACCCAGAGCGCGCCCACTAGTCCCTACCGGCGAGCAGCAGCCGGCTCCCCACCCTGCGAAGTTTCTCCCACGCACCTACAGTGCGGACCCCGACGATCACCGCCCCCTCGAAGGGAGGAGAGAGGACTGACCCCACCCCCTAGTCGGCCCGCCCGCCAGCCCCGTCCCCACCAGGGTCCGCGCCGGCGGCGGTCGAGGTACTACGGCCAGACCCGCCACCTGTCGGCCCGTCGTATCGCTTGCTCCGCGCTCTGGCCACCGCCGGTCTGAGGTCCCCGCCAGCTACACTCCCACTCCCAAGGCGAGGCGCGGAGTTCCTAGTCGGTTCGAAAAGGAGGCGGGGACCCAGCTGTCCCGCGGAGTGGGGAAAGGGCCGGGTGTGAGCGAGCGGCGGGGCAGCCCCTTACCTCGGAGGAGCTTGTAGGGGACGAGGCGTATGGCTGGGATCGGGCACCCAGGTGTGCCGAAGCTGGCGCGCGCTCTTCCGCCGCGCGGAAAGTGCCGCGGCAAACTCGCGGTGCGGAGCTCCAGGCAGTCCCAGGACAGGAGGGAGGGAGAAGAGGGAGGGAGGGAGGGAAGGAGGGAGGGAGCGAGGGGCGGGAAGGGAGCCGAGTGGCGCCGAAGCACGAGCGGAAAAGGCCGAGGCGACGCTTGAGGGGCGCGGCGCGCAGTGGGAAGGGTCGTGGCCGCTGACGCCCCGCCCCCGGCGCTCAGGTGCGCGGCGTCGCGTCCCGCCCGCCGCTGCAGCCCGCCCCGCGCCCGCCGTCCTCTGCTCCGCACCAGTCGCCGACCACACCGCGCCCGCCGCGCTCCGCCCGCGGCCGGCGGGTTGGACCGCACATTCCTGGGCTAGCAGCCTCGCGGCGTCCGGCCTCCCGGCGCCTCCGACTCCGGGGCGGGAACGGCACTCCACGCCCTTCTCCTTGCTTGTCTTCTCCGCCTCTCTTCTCCCACCACTCTTCCTTTTAAGTACAAGACCGAATTATTTGAGAAAAAGTCTCGAACGCTGCTGGCTAAGGGGAAAAGTGCGATAACTTGTGATGATTCAGGGAATGACTAGACTGGATGGGAAAATACCCACGTGTCTCTTTTCCTAGTCGCTGCTCCCTTTTCATATGTACTAGGGCAGCGGGCAGAAGAATAGAAAGAACTGAAGCAAACCCAGCACCCTCATTCTAAGAAAACTGCGGTGTCCTGCTGAAAAGGGTTGGCTAAGAGGAAGGACTTACAAGTATCTTAGGGTTGCGGGAGAAAAAACTCAGTTCGACAGTTTATTACATTGGCGATTCCAGTCTCGGAGTTTTCCGCTTAACCCTGTCTCTGCATCCCATTTACAGGGAATGAATTTAGCAGCAAAGCTCCCTACCAAATAACGCTACACTGATGCTAATTTGAGATGAGCTGGAGCAGTGATTGTCTCTATTTTTTCATTATTAACATGCCAGAGGCTTATCCTCAGATGCAAGTCATCTAAAATTTCTGGATCAGAGCGGGGTGGGCTGCCATTGACGCACCTGAGAAGACTGACCTTTCTATATCCAAGTAATGTCAGGTCACATCATTGTGGGAGGCTACAAATACCAGGTCTCCATTTTTTGAAAAAGTAGGAGAGCCCTAAGTCACTCTTACCTAACATAAACCTTTGTTCCTACTTAATATTCGTGTTTTGCCCAGGTAGCACGTGGTGAGTGAGCAATCAGTTTTTGCCTGCCACAGAACTGGGAACAGAAGAAAGTGATTCATATGCTCTATATTTCTCGGGGAAAGACAGTTTTGGTCTTTGGTCTGGCTGTTGTGGGAAACGTATGGAGAGAGCTCTGGAAAAATCCTTAGAAAATTAAAGGCTTTTCTTGGGAATAGGTCTAAAAGGCTGAGCGGCTGTTTAAGCTAGTACCAACCCCAGTGTGCCACCTGAAATTTCTGAATTACGTATTCATTAGTTTGTTTTCTGAGTTTTTTTTTTTTCTTTTTTTTTTTTATTTGAGACGGAGTCTCGCTGTGTCTCCCAGGCTGGAGTGCAGTGGCGTGATCTCGGCTCACTGCAAGCTCCGCCTCCCAGGTTCACGCCATTCTCCCGCCTCAGCCTCCCAAGTAGCTGAGACTACAGGCGCCCGCCACCACGCCCGGCTAGTTTTTTGTATTTTTAGTAGAGACAGGGTTTCACCATGTTAGCCAGGATAGTCTCGATCTCCTGACCTCGTGATCCACCCGCCTCGGCCTCCCAAAGTGCTGGGATTACAGGCTTGAGCCACCGCGCCCGGCCTGTTTTCTGAGTTTTAAGGAGCGTAAGGGAGGCTGGGACATTAAACGTATTCACATTAATATGCTTTGTAACTTACCAGAGGTCTTCTCCCTTGGAAGGGCTGCAGGATATAGTGGAAAGGCTATAGTTAGCTAACTGAGGGATTTGGGGACATGTTTACATTACCTGGTACTAAGCTTTCTGTACTATAAAATCAGCAAGAATTACTTTTTTTTTTTTTTTGGAGACGGAGTCTCGGCTCTGTCGCCAGACTGGAGTGCGGTGGCCGGATCTCGGCTCCCTGCAACCTCCGCCTCCTGGGTTCAAGCGATTCTCCTGCTCTCAGCCTCCCAATTACATTGTATTTAAGCTGTCCTAAGAATTGACACTGCACATAAAATGTGCTTGATTCGAGGAAGGCACTCAGTAAACATAGTCCCTTCTAGGGACTTAACAGTCCTTGGTCTCTAAGAAGTGTATGAGAGAAGAGGAAATTAAAACAGATGGGGCATTGAATATACAATATCAACCTAAAAACGATAGACTTTGAATGAACTAGGATAACACGCCACCTAAATTTCTCACTGCATGGCTTAAACCAGTTCTCTTAGTCTTAATAGGTTCTGAGTCAGGAATTTTGGCTGCTACTGACTTGTGTGACTTTGGGCAAGTTGCTTAACTTTTGTGCCTCTGTTTACTTACATATAAAATGGGGATAATAATACTTCCTACATTGTGAGAGTGTTGTGAAAGTGCCTGCAGTCCTCAGATAAAAGGTGGTATGTGAGTACCAGAGTAGTTATTATTAGTCTATGAAGTGCCCTAGGAACCATGGATGAAAGAGATTATTGAGGTACAAAGCTCTGTGTTTTGTTATTATTATCATTTATTGTACCTTTTGTCTTTACCATTCTCAATATTCCCGAAGATATATTTCACAGCCAGACTGCTTCCAACATTGCACTGAGGTATTTAGCTGAGTCAGTCCTAAATTGCAAGATGTTTGCATACCATCAATCTTTATATATAGCGTTCTGATGAAATAATCCTCAAAGACTTGGAGCTTGGTTTCTCAACCTCAGCACTATTGACATTTGGGGCTGGATAATTCTTTGCTGCCCTGCCCGTTGTAGGTTGTTTAGCAGCATCGTTGGCTTCTGCCTGTTAGATACCAATAAGAAACCCCCACCTGTAATGTGACATTGCCACATAGTCCCTGGGATAAAATTCTTCCCCAGTTGAGCACCTCTGAGTTAGCCTAAAATAACCGATTTTTAGCAACTCACTTGCACTTAATGATATAATGAAATATGATGATAATGCTGACAAAACATTCATTTTAATATGTCAGAGTGAAACCTATTCTAGATGCTAGTCTTAAATGATTTTGAGGATGTGTATTATTATATGTATGGATAGCTAGTATATTGGTAAGTAGCCATTTTGCCTTCAATGCAGATATTTCTGGAACATATGCAATTCATCCTCTAACATCAAAATATTATATGTGCATAGTATAAAAAAATTACATACTTTAGTTCTATAAGGATTGTAACAAAAAACAGCAATCTGCTCTCTACCTTATCCACTCTGAAAACCCTACCCAAAACTTTGAACTTTGTAACTGTTTCCATTAAGAGATCTTCATATTTATTTTTTATGTGCATATCTGCTATTGTATATCTTGATTTTTCCATTTTTAGATATAGAAGATTTAGCTCTAATACACTAATAACACATATACTTTTCATATTCCACACTCCCACTATATATCATGATTTTTATTGAATAAACGTTCAATGTTTATAGTATTATGACTATACAAATACTGTCCATAGCTGAGTCATGTGGTGTACTATGATTGCATTTCTTTTTTTTACAACTGTTTTTCCTTGTTACACAACTATACTTTTTGTCTTTACCATTTTTCTGCAGTTAAAACTTGGCTTTTTTTTTTTTTTAATCATTGGCTTATTTTTTTATATACCAGTCATGAGTATATACACAAATTTTCCTCCTTTCAATGAAGTTAATTACATTGGGTAAGCTATCAGTTCTATTCTCTTTTTTATTTTTTTGGAAACATCTCTTCTGGAGCCCTCCATCCCCTGCTTTAATCTGGATTGATTTTGTTTGTTTGGAGATGGAGTCTCACTCTGTTGGCGAGGCTGTAGTGCAGTGGCGCAGTCTTGGCTCACTGCAACCTCAGCCTCCCGGGTTCAAGCAATTCTCCTGCCTCAGCCTACCACGTAGCTGGGACTACAGGCGCACGCCGCCGTACCCAGCTCATTTTTGTATTTTAGTAGAGATGGGGTTTCACCACGTTGCCCAAGCTGGTCTCGAACTTCTGAGCTCAGGCAACCCGCCTGCTTTGGCATCCCAAAGTGCTGGGATTACAGGCGTGAGCCACTGCGCCTGGCCTAATCTGGATTGATTTTAAGGCTCATTGCTCGTGGTCATCCTGGGATTATGCTCCTCTAACATCTTGAGAATCATTTTCTCTACAGACTTCTTGTTTCCTGAATTGCATACTTTTCTCTTTGTTTCTCCCCTTCATTTTAGTAGAGTATATCCTCAGTATATTCTGAAGATAATGTAACTCATTCTTAGAGACCTTGCATGTTGGAAAATGTTTTAAATTTATCTTCACACTTTATTAATAGTTTGGTGGAGCATAGGACTCTAGGTTAGAAATCATTTTCCTTCATAATTTTGAAGGCATCGCTTTATTATCATCTAGTTTCCAGAGTTGCTGTTTAGAAGACCAATGGCATTCTGACTGCCTTGTATTTTCTGTCTCAAATTTTTGGATCTTCTTACTTAGATCCTCTGAAATATCTTGAAAATATGCTCTGATTTGGTCTTTTATCATTATTACATTACGCACTCAGTGGACCCTTTTAATCAGCTATCTGCCCTCCAGTTGGGAAATTTTCTTATCCTCTTTCTTTTTCTTTGACATGGAGTCTTGCTCTGATGCCCAGGCCGGAGTGCAGTGGCCCGATCTAGGCTCACAGCAACCTTTGCCTTTCGGGTTCAAGCAATTCTCCTGCCTCAGCCTCCTGAGTAGCTGGGATTACAGGCGCACATGCCCGGTTTTAGTAGAGACGGAGTTTCACCATGTTGGTCAGGCTGGTCTTGAACTCCTGACATCATGATCCACCCGCCTCATCCTCTCAAAGTGCAGGGATTACAGGCGTGAGCCAGTGCACCTGGCCTATTCTCTTTCTTTGATAAGACTTTCCTTCTACTTTCTCTGTTCCCGCCTTCTGGAAATCCTGTTAAGTAGGTGTTGGAATGCTAGAAGTTCTGTAACGAATTTTTTTATCTTTTCTCTTTTATTTTTCATTTCCTTGGCACATTATTCTACTTTTAGTGAAATTTCCTTCA